TCTCTTTTTTCTTTCTCCTTTCCTCCTTCCCTCCGTCTGTAAGAACTATCTTGCTTTTATCAAGTAAGAGCCTGCATTCTTATACATACAGAGTCCAGGTCTCCTGGAGAAGTCACATGTTTTCAATTTCAAGTAAGTTAACAGTAGAGTTTGTCTGCAGTTTTGGAAGTTCATGCTTGCAGTTCTTATGTTACTTAATTTCATCTATATCTCTCTACTGTTTTTCTTGTTTATATCTGAATCCATGAGTTTTCTCGTTGCAGTGGGTAGATAGAACACCAGCTTAGCCTTTTTTCTTTAGGCTATACAGCAATTGCCTTGAAACCTTAGAATGAACACGTGTGTGTGTGTGTATGTGTGTGTGTGTTGGTGCGTGTCTATTTGACCTATTTCTAAAAGTCATTTAGAGATAGCATTCGCCTTGTGAAATGGAACGATGTGTTCTTTCCTAGTAAACAAGGGACTATTCTGTGCCTCTGGAATTTGTTCAACTCTTCCTTAAATTTCCAGTTCAGTTTTCATGGTATTTATAGCTTAAGGTCCAAAAGTACATTGAAGGCAGGATACTCAATGAAAGATCAGGAATTCATAGGCATTGAATGTATTATTAAAATGAGATTTGTAACTCAAGCTCGGCAGAAGAGCCGTCGTTCTTTCTTGCTTCTAGTGCTCACATTTGGTCTGCTTTAATTTTCTCTGACATTTTTTTCAACACAGGTCTTCTTTCTGTGCATAAGATAGTGTTTCAAAATTGAAATGAGTTCACAGCTACTGTTTCCTTTTGTATTCCTCAAGTCATTGTGTATGTATATGTACATAAATGTGCACACACACACACACACACACATATATATACATATATATGAGAGAGAGAGAGAGAGAGGGAGAGAGAAAGAGATGATGAATCTCTGAACCTCCATTGAGCCCCAGAAAAACACCTGTACTTCCTCATCCTATTCCTGCTTTTAAGTCTCCATTCATTCCTTCCAGTTATGTTTTAGGGAATAATAGCACAGTATTTTTATGCTCATATCTAAAGTACTAATATGTGAATCCAAAGACTGTTATATGTATACTAAAAAACATCTCAATCAGACTTAAATTGATTAAAAAAATAATGCATAGTGTAGGAGACCAGTAACTGAATGGACCTAGAAGAAACCTTGACATGAGTGTGGCCATGTCAAGGATCTTTAAGCTGAGAAGGCATGGCCCCAGCTTAAAGTAAGTGGACAAGGTTCAGCACGGCTGCCTTGTGTGGAAAACAGGGCATGTTTACCTTTAGACAAGGGCAGTCAGAATAGAAAAACAGCTTACCATAGCATCCTTGATCTTGCTGACTATGTGACTCGGCCCACAAGAACCTAACTTGACTTCCGCATGTGCGCTGTATAAATAAACGCGCTAGGATGTGGAGGTGGGTCACAGGTGTCTTTCCTCAGGAGCGTCAGACCCACCCGATCCCAGCTTTTCTCTACGTCTGTCTTTGTGTCTTTGTTCTAATCCCCAGTTGCCCCCAGTCTGGTTAATGGACTTGCTCACGCTGGCTGTGACGCATAGTATTTTGATGGTTCCAATATTACACGTATACAAATTTAGGACAATGGTAATCAACTTTTTCACTTTCCTTTTCTTCTCAAAAACATATTTTCATTAACTACTTTCATAATGGTATTAGAATTTGCATGGCTCTTTCTCTCTCACTCGCAGTATTTTCTATCCATTTTGTTCTCTAATGGCTATCAGTTAACAGGCTTAATAAGTTTTTGCTGAGATTAACTAAATATGTTAGATTCAATCCTGGTAGGCATGACCATAGCCCCTGTTGCCATTTCTTTTCTTTTTCATTTCTAAGTAATAGGATAATTCACACTAGTAACTTTTATGGTGTTGACATGGTCTCTTCCCATTCTTGCCAGTGTTAAGAAATGTGAGTGTGACAAGGCATTTCACAGAGAGTGATAGTTGTATTTCCTCAACCACTAACTACAAAAAAACCTGAAAATTTTTGTTTTCAGTTCTGGAAACAAATCATGCTTACCTCTGCTTTAGAAATCATGCACTTGCCTTTGTCATTGAAGGCCAGGACAAAATCCTGGCTTCGTATCATTGGGTTTTAGCATGGATGTCATATCCTCAGCATCCTTGCCTTCTTGTTTGCTGTCTGTATGGAAAGGATTCTTTGTACTTTGCCCATCACACAGCAATTTTAATTATATGATTTTATTTCTGGTATCCCAAGAATGTTAGACTCTATTATGTGATTCAAGACTATCTTCAGCACCTACAGTGGTATTGCCTGCATATGAGGGGCATAAATAAGAACTTGTTTGAAAAGGGAAGAGTGAGGGTCATCCTCACCTATAAAATGAGGATAAGATGCCATCCCACAAGGAGTGCACAAATACTGAATGTGAGTGACATATATTTGATATATGCATTAACTATGTAGCCACACATATATGCACATACTATCCATCTATTTGTCTTTATCAATCTATATCATCATCATCATTGTAAAATAGCCTATTCTTGATGGCTGTTTTTTTCCAAACATAGCTTCTTTTTGTTCATGACCTGAAAGTGATTCACTGTGTGACCAGTTTATTAAATCATTTTCTGAGCCTTGGTACATTCAACTTTAAATAATATGTATGTTTTAATTTGTTATGAGTGTTACAATAGATAAGGCATAAGAAGCACCTTGTCTTTAGAAGGTTATTTGAAAATAACTTCAAGTCAGTGTTATCTATACTTTTTACCATTAAATAATTATGGTAGCAGTAAAAAACATTGTACAGCATAGCCTTTGAATTATTCATTCAGACAAGCTGCTGAAAGCATGGTCATTTTCTTCTGCAAATATTCATTGTAGACTGAATATGTTGAGTATTTAGAATCAGACATTGAAGCAAATCGTCTATGGAGTTTACAATGTTAAAGTTATCTCAACTGCAATTGAGAAAAATTCATGGCCTCCTTTGTCTTGGAAATTTTCTGTTTTTGTGATACAGAAATTATTGTGTGAGAAAAACTTGAAGCCTAATTCTCAGAAATGTTTATTTACCTAAATCATCATATACTCGTAGGAAATACTCAATTTACACAGAGTAGCAGTTAGTGGATAAGCTTGTTTTATATTGCTGAGAAATAACGATTTCCATTTGTCAGTAACATAAAATACTAATCAGGGTGGGTTGTTTTTTCATGTTACAAACTGGCTGAAAGTTTGTGCTGTATACTTCAAGATTACCTTGATCTAAATTTAAATATTTTTCAGAAAATAGCCGTGTAGACTAATAAGCATGGCTCTTGCCAAGACTAGGTTTAACTCATTTGATTTTAGTTTAACATCTTATGGAGTATCAAAGATAAACACACTTACTACTTGTAATCACTCCAAGACTACAGTCCTCCTACCTATGGCCTTCTGAGTAGCTGGGAACACAGGCACGAATGTACCACCAGGCCTGGCTTGCTGATTGAGATGGCATCTCCTTAACTTTTACCCTGACTGGCTTGGACCTTTGAGCTCTTCAATCTCCACTTCTGTAATAGCTGGGACTACAAGCATGAGTCACCACACCTGTATACTTGTGTTTTAATAGGAAAGTTTTTAAATAATTTAATGAGTTTCATTATGAAGTTTCCATAACTATGTCCTTGACATAGGTGTACGTATGTGTCAATGTGAGTGAGCATTTACATTTCTTTATGCAGTACAATAAATTGTGGTTTATAAGAACACAAAAGGTAACCAAATTTAAAAGGAACTTAGTCTATGGCAAGTTAGTACATGTTCTCCAATTTCACTTTCTTCATCTGTAAAATGGGGATAATAGCAGCAATCACATCAATGTATTATGATGACGTTTCAGTGGGTTAATATAGCACTTAGAGAGGCCCGTATTACATAGTTAATTTTATGGGTATTGGTTATTATTTAGAAATAAAAATCTACTTCCTTCTTAATTGTATTAATTGTAATTTATGGATACTTGAAAGATAGAATAAATGACACATTATTTTTATAATAAGTGACTAATTCACCTTACCAGTGGTTTAACCATACAATGTACTAAATTACCACCTGGACTGTTGATTAAAACCTTCTCTTTGGAGAAGCTGAGTGATGGTCCGTGGTGACCTGGAGGCTTATCTACTTTAAGCAATCATGATAGGCCAGTTCAGTGCATGTGACAAGGAGCAATCATGAAGAATAACAGATTTAAGTGAAATAAATATAAAGTGATGGACTCCTAAAGATCATTAAATTTGTTAATCTTAAAATCTACCCAAGGAAATAGTCAATATCCAAGCTGCAGTACAGGAAGTGTTGTGATATTCATTATAAGGATTTTATTTAATTCTGAGTATTCACAGAAAAGAGATCAATTTTGACTGTTGACATTAGAAAAAGATTCCCAATTAGAGATGAAACAAAAAGAGGTGTGATTTCAATTAACCCAGAAATTAATCAGTGGTAGAGAAGAAAATATGAAAAATTAAAGACAAAAACAAAGAGGTACAGTACCATTAACTGCAAAAATATATGTGCATATGTGTGTGTGTGTGTGTGTGTGTCTGTGTGTGTGTGTGTGTGTGTGTGTATAGTGTCATTATGGATAAACACATGTGTGTATTTGTATATGTATAAATTCTAACCTGAATACATTATACATATACACACCACAAAGAAGTGGGTTGACAGACTCTTGAGTTTAAGACAACAGAACAGATTCAACGATTTAGAGGTTTCAAATGATGACAGGAGTTAGAAAGCTATTAACTATGTTGTTAACAACATCCATAATTTTCATACAAATAATAAAAGAATAGGAATTAAAGTTAAAGTGATATTTCTTAAAAATAGAAATAGCGGAAGTTCCGCCTTCGGAAAAGGAAAAAGCTGCGCTTGAGAACGCCGCGGTGACCGCGGAGACAGCGGTGACCCAGAGAGAGAAAGGCGGCTGTGGGATGGCAGGCTTTCTGCCCTCTGGACTTCAGTTGGCGATTAGAGACCGAGCCACTGCCTGGCGCAGCCAGGGCAGGAATCAGCTGGAAAGTTAAATTTGGGAGTCAACATCGATTCCATCCATGGGTTCCTCAGCATCCACTCCATCTGTTTCAGTTCAGACCCCAAATGCTTCAGATCATCAGCCAGCATCACAACCTTCAGGATGCCCAATGCATGAAAGGAAAATGAAAGGCTGCCCAATGAGTGCAGCACCATCTGGCTCAACTTGTGAAAACAAAGCATCATGTGTGCCTGCCCACCAAGAACGTGCGTATGAATATGTGGAGTGTCCTGTTACTGGTGCTGAGGCTAAGAACAAGGAGAACCTGGATCCCTCAAATCTGATGCCACCACCTAATCAAACACCGGCCCCAGACCAGCCATTTGTATTGTCTACTGCCAGAGAGGAGTCATCCATTTCGAGAGCAGATTCAGAGAAAAAGTGGATTTATCCTTCTGAACAGATGTTCTGGAATGCAATGTTAAGGAAAGGGTGGAAGTGAAAGGATGAGGATATTAGTCAGAAAGACATGTATAATATCATTAAAATTCACAATCAGAATAATGAACAGGCTTGGAAGGAGATTTTGAAGTGGGAAGCCCTTCATGCTCGGGAGTGTCCTTGTGGTCCGTCACTGATCCGATTTGGAGGGAAAGCAAAAGAATATTCACCAAGGGCAAGAATTCGTTCTTGGATGGGGTATGAATTGCCTTTCGACAGGCATGATTGGATCATCAACCGTTGTGGGACTGAAGTTAGATATGTGATCGATTACTATGACAGTGGCGAGGTCAACAAGGACTACCAGTTTACCATTCTGGACGTGCGTCCGCCTTCGATTCGCTCTCTGCAGTGTGGGATAGAATGAAGGTCGCTTGGTGGCGCTGGACTTCATTACCACTGTTTTGTTCATGATGAAAAAGATATAGACTATTTTTTGGAGAGATACATTAAACTATTATCCCAAATTGAATTGCACTCATGATGTCATGGGAATTTCAAGTGGGTAATCACACTTGATCCTTCACTTAGTGAAGGATGCTATGTTCCATTAACTTTTGAGTCGCCTTTTTGCCTTGCAGTTTTTAGCAGATCATTTTAAGTTTTCTTCCCACTTGAACTGAGTGGAAAGCAGTCTCTCAGTTTTTCTTTTAACTGTAATATTACCTGTGTATCTTATTTACAAAAGACTGAACAGTTTGTGAAAAAGAGATTTTAAAAAGTAATAAAATCTGCTTTTTTGCTTACTGTTTTCTCAGGAATACTGATTCAAAAGTCAGTGTGACACTCAAGCTTTTACCTGGTCAGACATTTCAACTCAAACTGTTCATTACAAATAAGAAATAATCATGGCTTTTAAAAAGTGAATAGTATTTCTAAAGTCCCTACAATGTAATAGTGACCCTAAACACAATGCAGAGGTAATGCACTAAACAAGACTAAGGCGTGGATTAGCTCTCCAAGTTCTTGCTTACATGAATTTTTCAGACTAGACCTTCGTACAGAAGTTTCAGCCTACTGTGAGGTGATGATGCACACACTTTGGAACATTTATTTTAACTTATAAAATATTATGCTTCTAATTCTGGTTGTTCTAATATGTAACTGCTCCTAAAAAATATCATTGTCCCTGGCATTTGACAAGTTATCCCAACTTTTGAGTCCCATTTCTTCCCCGTCCTAGGAACCTTCTCCCAGTCAGCCTAATTCAAACCTTTAAAGCCTAACTCAAGTCACAGTGGCAGTGATGGTCCATCCCTCTCTAAAACGTGTTTATACTTGGCTGTTAAAATTCAGAACAAAAATATTTTTCTCAGATGTAGAATGTTTGCATCAATTTACTGTCTCGGTATTTTTTATTGTTTTAAGGAAACTAAATTTGCTGTTGAAATTCTTTTGTATCAATAATTCATAAACTGCTTGTTCTAATTACAGAAGCATGTGACAAGTGACTATTGCTTTTTTTTAAGTATTGATAATATTAAGTCCTTTAATTTATCCTGTATTGTTAAATTAGTAAATGAAGTTGGCAGTCTTTGAGTGATTAATTTGGTTATGGATTTCTTTGCTGTGTCAGTTTTGCATGAAGTTTCAAAACTGCAACAACTTTAAATTCTGCAAGTCAAAATTTTTGTATTTTTAAATATATCCGATCAGTAACAGGTTTTGAAAATCTTTTCATAGTAACGTTATAGTTAGTTACTAATTGTTTTTCCAGATATGAAATCTTTACAAAAACAATGTTATAGTCTTCCCACTTGAGGCAGCCATTTTCTCATGTGTTAGTCATATATATTTTAACTGTACAGGAAAATAATGACTGTTAGTTTATTTTTTCCGTTCCTAAATGCTATTGATTGGATATAGGATAAAGTATTATGAGAAACTAAACATTGTAACTGGAAACTGAAAATAAACGGCATTTTTTGAGACAGACGGTCTCGAAAGTCAAAATAAATAAATAAATAAATAAAAATAAAAATAGAAATAAACTTAAGATGCTGACAATAAAAAGCAAAGGATACAGGGAAGGCCGTGATTAATGATAAGCGCTACGCAGAGCTTCTCTGGGACTCCAGTCCATGCTTTCTGAACTAAGAATGAACTTTATTCTTAGGGTTCAGTGATTGGGAAAGAGGACAAAAGGGATTTGAAGATGAAATACAAAGAGGAAAACATTTGCAAAATTTGTCAAGATGCATACTTTTCTACAAATGTTCATATTAGATTTTCAAATTAAGAACTAGGATTTTTAATTTAAATGACATTTAAAAATAATGCAATTAATTTTCAAAATCATTACTGAATTTTACATAGGAGAAACTCCAAGGAGATAATGAATTTTTTTTCAGTACTGGGGCTTAAACTGGGGCTCAGGGACTTGCACTTGCTAAGAAATCATCGTACCACTTCTATCATGCCCCAGACCTGCAGAATTATTTTAAAATTCTGCCATTTGTCAAAATACCTTTTGGATACACTTAAAGTATGTGATATTTTTTATAGAGGCTAGGGAGTATAGCTCAAAGTCCTACCGTGATTAGAGTCCTGGTCTACTTGCCTACCATGCTCAAAGTCCTGGGTCAATGGGTTAATCTTTATCACTGTCTCTGTGCACACACACACACACACACACACACATAGTTTAAATATAACAAAACACACAGGTTATAATTGTTCAGTAGATTTTATGCAATAGTCATCATAATAAAAAATGCAGTATTTCCTTTACTCTGAGTTTTTCTCACATTGGTTTTGCAGTCAATCAACAACACTGTTATAATTATTTCCATACCTGAGTTTAGCTTCACTTAGGACTTCATGAACGGGTGTAGACTGACACCACTATTATATTTGTATATATTTATACATATTACATGTACTCTTATGTTTTGTGCATGCATATATGCATATGTGTGCACATCTTGCTGTAGCAACTGTCAACAGTTCATTTATCTCTGAGCCTACAATAGCTTCCTTTATTGAAGCACTGCTGCTTGTGAATCCATTCACACTGATGGGCTTTTAAAAAATCAGACTGCTAATAACATCTTTATAGAAGCCATTTGTTGATATATATTATATATTTAGATATATCATTCATATATATTCTCTTCAGTAAATACCAACAGTAAAATTTTGGTATTATTATTGCCTTTTACATATGCCATAATTCATTTATTCTTTATATTTGTGTTTTTTTCACCTGACTAAAATATAAGCTGCATGATAAAAGGGACATTGATTGCTTTTATCTGTCAGTTCATCCAATGTGATAAGAAAAGTATCTAGCACTTGATAGGTAAAGAATATTTAGCCACTTAATATATGAAATGCAAGATATTTCCTTTCTGTAAATTCCTTCATATAGAGGAAAGAATCCATGTCCAGTGATGAAAATATTTGTAGATCCAGGCTGTTAGATTATACCAGTCTCTAAAATTCTGTTAAGTAGTTTTTTCATATATAATTGGAGGAAGGACTGCAGCCCTTGCAGCATCATCAGCAGATGAACTACTATTATATTTCTGAAAGAGCTCTGTAAACTATTGGTATAAAATAAGGACTTTGTTTATGTAATGACTGACTGTTAAATGTAGAAAGGGTACCATATTTAGCATCATAAATCTGGGATGGTATCTTTATAACCAACATAATTCAATCCATTGCTGACTTCTTAATTTTTATAACCTCTGTATCACTCATGGAGGTTCAAAACATTTGCAGTACATCAAATTGCAACACTTGAATGTATTTTAATAAGTGAACTGATTTCAAATGTCAATATTTCATATATTTCCTACTTGCCACATAAATGAAGTAAGAATTTACATAAAATTGTGGGTTTTAGGGTCTCTCAGAGCTTACAAATGTTGTTGCTATAGCTGCATCTCTTCTTTTGCCTCCATCTTTCTACTGAAGTGCTTCTCCTGACAGCACATCAGATTCTGAACCTGCTGTCTACTGCTAGAGCTAATGTTTAGTACAATCATAAAACATCTCCATGGGACTCTGAATAGTCCATTTTGTGTGTTATTAGGGCATGTGCTAGCCATATCATGATGCATTCAGCTGTGAAAATTAGTAGTCCTTGGGAAGAGCATTGATATGACTATGTCAATCCAATGAAAGCTGTCTCACTGCTGCTTCCTGTATGTTGGATGAAAGGACAGATGACCTTAATGAAGTAGATTAGAAAGTGCAAAGGCTTAGGGAGAATCTGATTCCTTATGACCCTATTTGTGTGTATTTTGAATGAAAAAGCTGGCCATGGATTCCATAAGTTATAAATGTTATAAATGGCATGATAGTAATTTTGAGGAAATGTTTTAAGAACAGCTATGCTGGAAAACAACAATAACAACAAGGCACAAAGCAGTGGAATGTGTATTTACTGTGAAATAATCATTTTGAAGCTTAAAGATTTTTGCAAAGCAATGAATTGCCTACCTGGAGTGCAATGATATCATGCAAGAGACATCTAAGCTTGCTTATGTATAGTTAGCAGCAGCGTGAATTCAGCTGTGATATGTCTATTTAGCCAATAATTTTGTTTTGGAATAATTTTAGTGATGTAATACTTACCAGGATGTTTATAAAATGTCTCTCCATAGAGAAATCATGAGGGCAGGCTGTCATAAATAAGGAAAAAATGAAGCCAGAGAGAAGATTGTGGTGCTAACTTAATATTTTGTTAGGAAAAAACTGGCTGTGTTTAAGCAAAGGAGAAATATTTTCACATGGGAACTGTTGTTTCCTGGCTAATAGATAAAGAAAACCTCAAACTTTCTTCTACAGGTGAAAATGTATCTGTTATTTAAATCATATAATGATCATGATCTCAAATAAAGTAGATACTGAGTTCATTTAATGATTATTAATTTCATAGTAGACTTTCAGAAAGAAATGAAACACAAGAATATAAAAAATAAAATACCTATTTTTTATACTAATATTACTAAGAATATAAAAAATAAAATACCTAAACCCATCAATGAAAATAACCTGTATATGTAACATAACACAAATCAAGGTGGGTATATATTATTCAATTAGTTGTCAAAATTCCTAAATAAATAAAATTTTAAAATATTGCAAAAACATTTTTTTCAGATGTCTTTTTCCATTGTCTCTGGACAATAGTTTTAAATTTTATGCAACTTATTAGTATACTAAGTTATTTTCTACTGACTTGATTAAATTAGTATAATTTTCTTTTTTAAGCAGTGTTTCTCATAGAATTTAAAGCATATTTGATAACTGTACATTTCCTCCAATATATATTTAATATGAAACTATCTAGTTTTTACTCCTGCTGCATTTGTTTCACATTTGACTCACAGAATTATATCCGTCAAATATGGGATTATGGTAAATTAGGTGGTCTATATACTAGTTTCTATTCACATTAAAACTTTCCAAAGAAAGTTGATATGATTCTTTTTTTGTAGCTCATATGAGGAAGTGAAAGTTTTTTAGTTTTCTGCCATATTTAGATTTCCTCTATATCTTAGTCATATAATCATTTTCTTTTCTTTAAAATGATTTGTAATTATAAAGACTTTCTCCAACTCTTCAGACTGTTCCGGACTGTGGTAAATTATACTCATTGTCCATCAGTCCAACATTTTTAAAGAAAAGGGTGAGAGAGGGTGTTAGCAGATTTTTGGCAAATGTATTATTCAGGAAAGGTTAGTTAACTGCTTCTAGCTGAGCCAGAATACCATCCTTGTTCTATCTTATAAAAACAAAAGCACACATGAAGATTTCCCCATTGTATTGGAGAAGCTCGCTGAGCCACACAGAAAGTAGCATTTGCTCAGAATCATTTGTAATGATTCCCTCCACAGATAGACCGGAAACCTAAAGCTCTTTAATATTCTAGCCTCATTATTCTCATTTTCTGTAATTTAACAACTTCTCATATTATTCTTAATGGAAAAGTCATGCAATATTGAGCAGTAACTGCTGTTAATTTCCTGCTGTATATCATTTGCATTTTTTTGTTGCTGGTAAAGAGTAATTAACATGCTCTAATTATCATACTGATTGTCTCCTTTAGCTTTAGAGAATATAGTCATCTCAACCCTGGTTGATTTTACAATAGTATGTTTTATTGTTTCCAATAATAGTATCCTGGGATATACAGGACAAATTTTTATAGGAAAAAATTGTGTGATTCTGCAGTAGCAGGTTTTCTAAATGGTTCAATTTAGAACAGAGTAATGTGACTTTTTATAGTTCCTATCAAAAAACATGGAGTCTTATTTCTATGGCAGGACAATACTATCCATCTTCCAAAGGGAATTACAGTTATATTACACTATTATCACACAAGAAAATGTTTTCTTGCATCCCACTCAGATAGTATCTTTTATTCCTTCATATTTTTAAAAGTTCATGTTAAAATTTTTGCTATGAGTATACTTAAAAGTAATAAGTTAGCTTGCAAGGATCGTTAGTACATTAGATTATTTCTCTGTTTAAAATATTTTGCCCGCTAGAGATGAGGTACAAGTGGTGAGTGCCTGCTTTTCATGCTCAAAGCCCTAATTTGAAACCCCACTTCCACTACAAATAAATCAATACTTTGCAATTCCTAATATTTTCAACTAAAAACTTATAACACAGTGGGAATAAAGATGAA